ACATAATTTCATTGAATTCCCATGATGGGGATGTGTGTCTCAGGTTGAGTTCCCAGAAGCAGACTCTGGGGTGAGGATTTGTGTGACAATGATTTATTAAGAAGTGTTCCCAGTGGAATTAAAAAAAAAAAAAAAAGAAAGGAAGGAAGGAAGAAAGGAAGACAGCAGGGGAGTGGGAACATGGCAGGGAATGAAGGAAGCCAGAGCTGGTGCGCTAGCAATGAGGCATTTTGAGCTCGGTCCCATGGAGAGATTCTGGAACCAGCGGAGCTCACACTTGGAGCAGTCCCCATCTGGGAACAGGGCATCTGGGATTTGTATATGTGACACTCTTCTGTCCTCGGGTACGGGTATAAATTCCCAGGCACCAGGAGTGCTGCGCAGGGTTCTGGCAGCCTGAGCCACGGGTGTCTGCTGTTGGGCGTGAACGCACACAGGGAGCCAGTGTGCTCAAAAACCCTAATGGGATTCAGGAGGAATGTGGGCAGAGCATTGATAGCATTGTTGGCATTCGAACGCCTTAAAGGCGTGGAGCTGCTACTCAGGGAGGTGGAGTGGCTCAGCCAGCAGCCCGCAGCTAAGCAGTGCCAGGACTGGGATTCGAACATGCTCTGCCTGCCTGCCTCCCCCTTACCCTTCTGACCCTGCTGTGGAAGGGAGGACTCCGCTGCACCTGCCACAGACATGGCTGAGGAAGAAGAGGAAATGATAGCGCTTAGACAGGGAATAAGTGGTGCTGCAAGGGACACTGTCCACTGGGCCGTGAGCATTTAGGGCTCTTCCCACAGAGCTGGCAGCTCTCCAGTAACTAGCGGGGGAGGGGTGGAAGGTATTCTTTCTAAATCTTAAGTGGCTTCTGCTTCTTACAATCTAGCTCAACTTCTGGGTGAGTTGCATCCTCTGGAAAAGGCTACAGCCAAGTGCTATTTATCTCTATGTGGGGAAAAGAGGCTTAACAAATTAGCTGGGCTTAATTGGTGAGGAAAGTAGGACAGGAAAGTTGGCCAGTTGTCTGGTGGGGTTTTCTGATCAATTCTCTCCATCAATATCTTTCGTGTGTGAGTCTGAGACCAGGTGGGAAAAATAACTCCTGAGAGCAGCCAAGGTCCCACCTGTTCCCTGGGATGTCTCAGCAGCTGTGGCAGGTCCTCTGCTTTGCTGGCTCCTGTGGGTACACAGAGGACCATTCTCCTGCACAGGTGCACCTGTACCCTCAGGTTCACAGAATCAAACATTCTGGAGCTGGGTTCCGAGCTGCAGATGCCAAGAGTCAGGGTCAGAGCTCTGAAATAACACAGGACGCAGGCATACACCATTCCCAGTGATTTATGATCCCAAGGAGTTGGACGCCAAAGTCTGCATTTTTTAGAAATACAACTTCTCAAATTTTGAAAAAATTTTTTAATGTTTTATTTATTTTTGAGAGAGAGAGAGAGAGAGAGACAGCGTGAGCAGCAGAGGGACAGAAAAAGAGGGAGACACAGAATCCGAAGACAGGCTCCAGGCTCTGAGCAAGCTATCAGCACAGAGCCTGATGCGGGGCTCGAACCCACAAACCATGAGATCATGACCTGAGCCGAAGCCAGACACTTAACTGACTGAGCCACCCAGGCGCCCCTTTTCAAATTTTTTAAAGGTTTTTTTTTTTTTTTTTTTTTTGAGAGAGAAAGAGACAGAGAGAAAAAGCAAGTGGGGGAGGGGGAGAGAGTGAAGGAGATAGGATCCCAAGCAGGCTCCCTGCTGTCAGCGCAGAGCCCCATGCAGGGCTCAAGCTCATGAACTGTGAGATCATGACCTGAGCCAAAATCAAGAGTTGGATGCTTAACCAACTGAGCCACCCAGGCACCCCTCAAGCTCTGCACTTTTGAAAGCTTCCTAGGAGATTCTTACATGCAGCCAGACTTGAAAATCATTGCTTCAAAATGTCAGTGTGTGATGGAGTCTTGGCCCTCACCCATGGTCAGCTTTCACGCTGATACTTAAATACTTTTCAGGGACATGCTGCTCACCTTCCACTCAGGCGCTTCCCCCGATGAGAACTCACTGCTCCCATCCCATCTTGAACTGCTTAGAAAATTCTGTCTTATATTGTGTTGATAACCTGCCTCCCAGATTACTGGAGACCTTGGTCCTAAATCAACTCTGAGAGGCTGCAGAGAGCAATTCCAGTCTCTCTTGCACATGGCAATTCTTCCTGTGCCTAAAGACACCAGTGCTTTTACTGGCTCACTCCATGACCGAATGCAGTCTGCGGTGTCCTCCATTAAATGGTGTAGCCCAGTAGTCAACCCCTGGCCCCATCAGTGTTGCTTCCAAGTCTCTTCTCGCCAGGTGCCCTTCTGTTCCTGGAAACCAAGAGCAGAACTTTGAGCGCAGCCTTGTTAATCTGCATCTCTTTAGATTCAGCTCGCTGTTCCAGCTTTCTGGAACCTGTGTCTATAAGTTCGCTTATAGTTACCTCTTCTGAGGATCTGAGGTTCCTCAGTGGGCAGCTGGCCCTTAAGTCCTCATAACTTCCGGGAAGAGGGCCTGGTTTATGGAGTTTGTAGCGTGGGGAGAAAGTATCTTTGGGACATGGCCCCACAAGGGTTTGGCATCTCTGGAGATCCTTTCTTTCAGGAAGAGAGAACACTTGGAACCTCCTTCCTGAGGTAGGGGATGGAGCAGCCTAGGCATTCTTAGACATAACTCATTTATCCTGAAGAAGGGAGAGTTTTGTGGGGGCACGGCTCATGAGGAGGAGGACTTGTGTCACTAAAGAAGACTTCCAGGTTCCAAGAATGTGGATGAGTCAAGGAGTAAGGGTGGAACGTACAAAAGGTGGGAGATGGCTACTTCCCTTCACTACTTTGTGAAAAAAGGCTTGGGACTTGTATGGACGCCATTTTGTGTTTGCTGCTTCTTGAGATTGAGGACCGAAGATATTGGCAGACAAGAGGGAACAACCATTATATATGTCTTATAGATGAACACACTGAGACCAGAGGGGTTAAATGACAGCTGGTGAAGGCAGTCCCTTCCAGCCCAGTCCAGACTCCCATCCTAATTTGTCTTCACAGGGGCTGGCAAGTTCTCACTTCTAGGCTGGAGAAGGGGAGTTTGTGTCCTTAATCCCCGGATGGCCCAGAAAGTCCCCTGTGTCCACCATTGATGTCCTATAGGAGCTTTCTGTAAAGGACTGGGATGTTAGAGCTGGGACACTCACACAGGCTCTATTTCCACATGCTTGTTGTGTTGGCCAATAAACGTGTCCGTTCTTTGTGTGGGTGAAGTTTTAACAGAATCCCGTGCTTGGACAGTGCAATGATGTACCTACCACATATGGCTGGGTTGCTGGTGCAGGCAGGCTCTTTACCCTTCTATGCCTCCTGGTTAAGGAGAAGGAGTCAGATCTCTGTGTACTGATGAGGAAATATATTCTTTATATATTGACAAGTAAAAAGTGATCATTGTAACCTGATGCACGTTTCTTGATCTCATTTAAATAAAAACATCTGTCTGATATGTGTACATAGAGATGTACTTGCAGATGTGACCACAACCTTCTAGAAAGGGACACCTCAAACAATCTCTGGAGGATGAATGTGGAGGGATAAAGGGGACATTTCACCATTTAGCACATTTTATTTTATTTTATCTTTTAAAGTTTATTTTAAAGCTTATGTTTTAGAGTTTGAGAGAGAGAGAGAGAGATAGGAGAGTGAGTGCGAGACAGGCAAAGAGAGAGAGAGCATCCTAAGCAAGCTCTGTGCTGCCAGTGCAGAGCCTGGTCTGGAGCTCAAACCCACGAACCATGAGATCATGACCTGAGCTGAAATCAAGAGCTGGACACCTTATCCAACTGAGCCACCTAGGCACCCAATTTAGCACATTTTTTTTTTTTAAATGGGACAAGGTTATGGGATGATTTTAAGCATTTTTACTTTTCTGTATTTTTTCAAATAAAAAACGGTAATAAAAATTACATCACAAAAATTCATACAAAAAAGTAAAAATAAAAGAGGACTGCAATCTGATATTTCTCTCCCACGTTCATAGATGACCTGGCACAATGCCTGTAAGTACTTGGCACATGCTAACCATGAGAGTTCTTACAGGACATGCTTAGCGATGATGAGTTCCTTCTCTCCTTGCAATCTGATGGCTTTCCAGTTATAGGAGGAGAAAAGTACCCATAAAACATATGAGAAACAAAATAAGGAGCCGGGTCCTATCTGCATCACCCTCTTCCACTTCCTTCATGTATTCCACAGCAATATTCATTCATATATTGAACACTATGTGCCAGTTAGAGTGTAAGGTTCTGGAACACCACACAAGATGTGGCCCCTGTCTTCGTGGTGACCCCAATTTGGTGAAGGAAATACTTCGAAATAAATAAGCCACTAATATTCAAGCACAGAAATAGCAAGTGCTATAAAGAAACAGAACAAAGTGCTAGAAGACAGAATGATGGGAGCAGAGTCATTGCCCAGAATCAAGAAAGAGCCAGTTCTATGGGTCCTTTATTGGTTGTTTAGAACTGAAGGCAGTTCACAACCCCCGCTGTGAGCTGCTGTCCTCCAAGGTGTCATTCAGTGCAGCTGGACAAGCTGCCATAAACCCCTCCTTCCAGATTTCTGATGCTTTAGCCTCTGGCAATCATGAGAATCATCCCCCTAAGCTCCCCTTCAGAAAGGCATTTGCAGGTACTTTTCTGAGAGAAGAGAGGAAAGCCCTCGCCTTCGGTGGCCCTGTGATGCCTATAGGAACCAGAACTTCGACCTTGCTGGGGGCTGGTGCATGAGAGCTTGGAAAACAGCAGGAAATCAGATATCTGTGTTCAAATGATGCGTCTTGTAGCTAAGGCAGCGAAAGCTCACCCCAGGGGATGGCATGTTTTGTGAAGAAAAAAATCTCCAAGAACAGTGTTTATCAAACCCTGTCTCGGCAATCATCTTGTGCGTCTGCCAGCTTCTGGCTTGCTTCTGTTCATGTTTGTTTTCTTTTTCTCCCTACAGGCCGTGGAGACCAACCTGGCTTCCAAGGACAGCCATTGGGTCTTTGTGAATGAGGTAAGAGCCCCAGAATGGGAAGGGGTGCGGCCTGCACTGAGCTCCCTGCCCCTTGAGAAAGCTCAGTGGGAAGCTGTAGGGGCCAATTCTGAGTTGGGATGCTGGAGTGAATTCCAGGCACACACACACTGCCTCTCTCTGCCCCATGCAGCACAGGGGCTCAGAGAGTTGGGTATGACCTTGCCAAGATGCTCACCTGGGGTGGGAACCAGGGAAAGAGTGGAGATTGGAGTTCATGAAGTCAGAAGTAGATGTGCAGAGTGAGGAGAGACAGGGGTTAGGGGCTTGAGACATTAGGGAGGGTTAGAAGACAGGGTGCACAGGAGGTGGGGCAGAGGAATGAGTGAGGATGGAGGAGGCTACATTTCATGCAGGAGTTTGCAGGTCTGTGTGTTACATGACTGTGAGTGTATGTGTATAGGAGTACATGTGTGTGAGAGTATATGTGAGAGCATGTATGTCATGATAGGGTAGATGTATGTGTGAGTGACTGTGTGCATGCACACGCCCCTGCAGCTGGTGGGTGCAGGAATCAGTGTAGCCATTTAAAGCTGGTAGATGAGAAGTCTCTCCCATGACAGGCCATCCCACTTCTTTGGGCGCTGGGAGGAAGGGGAACGTCAAGTTTTCACTGTGGCCCAGTCTGTTCTTCACCTGTTTTACCTGCCTGGCTCTGAGCTCCTCCACACTGCAGACATTCCAAGTGAGTGGCCTTTAACCACATGCCCATTAAGGAAACACCACCAGGGCAGCCTTTGTGACCCCAGCATGCTGTTAACAGAGCTGATTCTGGAAGGCAGTTCCTGGTGCACACTTTCATCACGGCATTGGCCTTTAGCTGCTCCTAAATTAACTGATCAATTTCTAATGGCTTCATTCTAGAAGATGCAGGGTTTATTATGGAGGTAATTTATTCATTTATGATGTGTGTTTCTTCATTAGCTCAGTGCTCTGTGGCTGGAAGAGTTTTGGGTGGCTTATTTTAATAAATTTGCAGGTAGTATCAGATAGTAACTTTTGCAAGGCCCAGTTTTCATGGCTTTCCTCCATGAATTCACATCTTATTAGTTCTACCCGGGCCTGTTGGAGAAAGCAAGGTAACTGTCCATTTACCTCGGGTTGTGGCTCATTGTGCTGCTAATCAGGAGGGACATGATAGCCACCTCCTCATTCTTCAGAGCCTGCTGGAGTCCTCCTTGGTCCTGGAAAGTTTTGATCCTCTGAGCTTTGCCAGCTTCTCTATGGGTTCTTCAAAGTCTGGTTTTCTTTGTTCCAGAGAAGGGGTGCATTTCACCTGCCTCTTAAGGCAAATGTCTGGAGCTGGCTTCAGTTTCATGGTGACTCTCCTCCATACTGAATCGTCAGTGTTTCTCTGTTGTCAGTCTTCAGAAAGCACTCTGATTTTGCATCTCTAGCCTGTATGCTTTTTTCTCCCCTGCATCCTGACCCACCTTCAGGGCCCTCTGTCCCTCCTGAGCCCCTCTTTAGGGCTGGGGGTAACTTTAGAATGACTGGTCCTGAAGTGCCTGCAAGAGCATTGCTGGGGCAGCGGGACCCCAGGGCTTACTTAGGGTCACCAGGAAGAGTCAGGTGTGGGCACAATTTTCAGCCACACTAGAACAGCCTCACCCAAGAGGAGAGCTATGCCCCACCACTGTCAGCAGCATGCCGGCGGCCAGCACACACATCATGTGACTATCTCCGGGCTAAGTGTATCATCCTCCAGAGGTGACCTCCCCACTTCTTGGCTTTCTTTTCTATAGGAGGCTCTTCCTCTTGAAAGTGAAGGGGTAAAACCTACCATTTCTTATTTATTTATTTTTATTTTTTTTATGTTTTATTTTATTTTTTTTATGTTTGAGTTGGGGGGCAGAGAGAGAGGGAGACACAGAATCCAAAGCAGGCTCCAGGCTCTGAGCTGTCAGCACAGAGCCTGATGCAAGGCTTGAACTCACGAACCACGAGCTCATGACCTGAGCTGAAGTTGGAGGCTTAACCTGCTGAGCCACCCTGGTGCCCCTTATTTATTTATTTTTAAAGTTTATTTATTTATTTTGAGTGAGAGAGAGAGAGAGAGGGGATGAGAGAAAGCTAGAGAGGCTCTGCACTGTCAGCATGGAGCCCAATGCAGGGCTCAATCTCATGACAGTGGGATCATGACCTGAGCCGAAATCAAGAGTCGGAAGTTTAACCAACTGAGCCACCCAGGAGCCCCAACATCTACCATTTCTTGATCACCTAGTATATGCCAGGCACTTGTCAGGGCATTTTATATTTAGACCATCCTTAGTCCTCATCAGTAACCCTGTATGACAGTTATTATCATCCCTATTTTACAGACAGGAAAGGACAGGCCCAAGGGGTTAAATCATTTGCCCAAGGTCATACAATTAGTAAATGATCCCTTTGGGATTCTCTATGATGACTGTCTGATTCCAAAGCTATTTCTACCACATGACACCATCTTGCATATGATCCTGACAGAGATCCTTAACCTGTGGTCAAGGTCTGACTCAGTAAGGCCAGCAGGTAGAACTCAGGTATGCACAGTGATGGAGGCACTCTTGGCTTTGGTGTCTGCTCACATACATTCTTGAAGTCTGATCTGGAGGTAGGTCCTCCTGTAAAGCTTTGACCCTTAGACCCCAGTGTGGCCTTTGGTTAATGACCAAGCTGTTGTCTAAATTGTATGTAGATTTACCCTTAGGATCCTGCCATATTCATAACTGCTATTTCCTATTACATAATGGCCCCGCTGGAAACAAAAGTCCTGTTATTCTTATGATAATTGTGTCCTTCTAGACTATCTAAATACAGAGCCCCAGACACAGTTTAACAGTTGCTTTTCTGTTTGTCATATGTGATGGATACGATAAAATAAGGCGGGAAGAAGAGAAGCAGGGGAAGGCATTTGGTGGTTCCAAAATGGTCTCCAGAATTCAGCAACAGTATCAGGGCCTCATCTTCTCATTTCCTGAGCTGCTCCCTACTTCCATTAAGGCAAGTTCAGTTTGTCTGACAAGCTCAGGTTTGTGCCTCTTCCCTGCACGTCTTTCCCCCAAGGAGGCCTGCACAGTGGTCCCCAGCTCTGCCCCTGTTCCCTCGTTTCTCATAGGCTGTTTTCTGCCTTCTCTCTCTATATCTGACTTGCTTAATGTATTTTCCTGGATTCAAGGTAAACACTCAAAGGCAAATGATTTTGGTTTTTTTCCCCTTAATGTGGGGGTTTTCTTAATGCATCTACTCCTTCACTGGTGAATATTGGTGTTGTATACATGAGGTCTATTTCATTTGGAGAAGGGGTAATTGGATGCAGAGAAAGGCTTGTGAGCATGTGAGTCTCTTTTACAGTTTTTAGTTTTTGTAGGTCTCTGGGTTAGACTGTGGGAACACTGACAAGCAGATGTACCTTTGGGTATAAACTGTATTCTCATAGATTATTTAAATTATATGTTAGCTTGGAGGAGGGTGAGGGATTCGAAAGAGCTTGGGGAAAGTAGATTGAACCACTAGTCAAGGTGGCCACTAGGTCATGAGTCTCTTGAAGACATGGCCAGAATGTAGCTCATCACTGAATCCTAGTGCGCTATGCAAAGAGCAGGTTCTTTTTTTTTTTTTTAATATTTTATTTATTTTTGAGAGAGAGAGAGAGACAGCATGAGCAGGGGAGGGTCAGAGAGAGAGGGAGACACAGAATCTGAAGCAGGTTCCAGGCTCTGAACTAGCTGTCAGCACAGAGCCCGACGCGGGGCTCGAACCCCCACGAACTGTGAGATCATGACCTGAGCCGAAGTTGGACACTTAACCGACTAAGCCCCCCAGGCCCCCCAGGTTCTTTTTGTATTAAAGTTTATTTATTTATTTTGAGAGAGAGAGAAAGAGACAGAGAGAGAAAGCAAGTGGGGGAGGGGGAGAGAGTGAAGGAGATAGGATCCCAAGCAGGCTCCCTGCTGTCAGCGCAGAGCCCCACGCAGGGCTCAAGCTCATGAACTGTGAGATCGTGACCTGAGCCAAAATCAAGAGTTGGATGCTTAACCAACTGAGCCACCCAGGCACCCCTCAAGCTCTGCATACCTGGCATACTCTTCTTGAATGTTTGATTGCCAAGGACTTACATTTCCAGCAGGGGTCTGCTAAAAATCTCCTTTGCCAAAAGGTCTTCCTGGATTTCCCCATTAGAGTTCTTCATTGTCCTATTGTTGTACCCTCCTTGCCCTGGCTATGATATGTTGGGGGCTTCATGCGTGTTCCTGATTCCCTGAATCACCTGTAAGTGCACCTCCTTCCTGTCAGGCTTCCTAAAGGTCCCAGCTCAAGGGACTCACACACAGAGGATGTGTGTGCATTGAGGCTCCTGCTGCTGGTCTCCCTCCTGCTTCCTCGCCTTGACTCTGCTTGTCTAATTGCCTACATGTGGAAGAAGAGCATTTCTAACTGTCCCCATCTTTCATGGACTCAGAAAGCTGTCATCCTGCTCTATGAGCTACAGCTGTCAACACCCCCTGCTCCCGGCATCCCCTTTCCCTGTGCTTATGAGTCCCATGGGGCACAAGCGCTTCCTCTGAGGCACACGCATGCTCTCTTCAGCCCCCATCCAGGCCATTAGCCGATGGCAAAGCAGCCAGGGAAAAGGGCAGGGGAAGTGCTGGCCAGGCTTCCTACAGCAGTCTCCAATTACATTTGGGAACATCTGTTCTGCTAATTTTTAGGTGCTTTGTGGAAAAAGGATTCTGTGATCAAAGAGGGTGGCTAAGTTAAAGAGGGAGAAACAGGTGTCTCCTCCGGGCGTCTTTGGTCTCTGAAGCAGGCCGTGCTTTCCCAGCATGGGGCCGTGCACACTGTCTGTCACATGCATTTGTACCAAACGCACTCGTGCATTTTCTCTCGGTGTGCTCCCCTCTGCTCTTGAATAGGTTGTTGGCAGGTGGTGGAGTGTCAGGACCCATAGGCTAGAGTGCACATTCCTCCACGTGACTCAAGAGGTTGCTCATGAGCGGGAC